TGAGGGTCTCATTGGCGACCAGGCGCCTCTTGGCTTCTGGGACCCCCTGGGACTTGCCAAGGACAAGGATGTGGAGGTGTTCAAGAGGCCCGGCCCTGCAGTGCAGCAACTTTGGCTGGTACAGACTGCAGCTGGCCGTTGTGTTGTTTGAGGCGCCGTGAGACTGAGATCAAGCACGGCCGTGTGGCTATGTTCGCCACCATGGGCATAAAGCTCAGAATGTCTTGGTTGAGTACACACACGTTTTGACCAAGGACGCTGTGTTTGGTGTTAGCAATTTTTGCTTGTATATGTTGTTCAGCTCCGCAATTTGAAAGGTTACATCGTGCCGGAGTACTACAAGTTCGATGGCTACCTGTCCCCATCCATGGACCTGAAATTCGCCGATGTGCCAAACGGCTTGAAGGCTTGTTGAGCTAATGCAGTAAAGGAAGTCATACGTAGAATAAGAATGAATAATGAAGAGCTCTCTCTCTCTCTCTAGAGATAGAGATGGAGATAGAGATGGAGAGTGTAATGCAGTCTTACTTTGGAGATCTGAAAATCTGAGACATTTTTTGTGGAGGCACTCTCCGTGGTGCCCAAGGAGGGCTGGGCTCAGATGCTTGCCTTCGCCGGCTTCCTTGAGTTGGTTGTGAACAAGAAGTCATCTGAGCCAGGCCGGAATTGGAGAGAGTCGGAGGGCTTGTTGATTCTTGATTTTCCTTGCTTTACAAGGCAACTACGGCAAGGGCAACTTTGGCCTCGGCAACGTTGGATTTGGCAATTCCATCCAGGATCCTGCCAAGAGGACTGCACACAGATTTGCGCGCTGCATGCTGGTCTGAGTTAGACACTTTGCAAGGAACAGGCAGCTCAGTGCTGAACTCGCAAACGGACGGTTGGCGATGATGGCCATCATGGGCATGTTGCTTGACGCTTTACTTGCCCATTGATTTACTGACATGTATATGATCTATAGTAGTTACATTCATCAAATCTATGCAATGTTTCTCCCAGGTTCTTCCAGGATGGCTTGACTGGCTCCGCATGGGGCGACTGGGCCAACTACACCGACAGTCCGTTGAGGGCCTTCGAGAGCGAGCTGGGCGTAGCTTGGATTCAGGGGAAGATGAAGATGCACTTGATTTTGTATGGCTTTTAAGCCATGAGGGACTGGCAGAATCAAGGAGCTTTAAGGAGCTTTTCAGTGCCTTCAGAAGTCAATATAGGAGCCTCCTCTGACTCCCTAGTTGGAGACAAAGAAGACTGCATAGTCACACAGCATTCACGAACTTACGGGGTGATAAGCTATCAGACATCCTTCCTTTTGACAACATCAGTGGGATCTCTACGAAGAACATTTG